AGGTAGAATACTTATTTAATATATGTTAATATATAATATGCACACATGCATTTACATACACACACACACATATATATAAAGATTTGCCTTGAAAAATTGCATCTAAAACCATTCCGTTTTTTTCTGTTCTTGCTTTTCCAAAACTTGTAGGTACCTACTGTTATTAATTTCTTATCTATCTATATATTTATACTACATTAACATATGTACTAATTAGTGCATTTTTATATAATATGTGGATAAATAAAACAACATATATTACTTGGTAATTTTTTGAGAGTGGTAATTCTTTATTAAACTTCCAGTATCTCAGAACATTTTTTGATGTTTTTAAGTTGGCAAACTGTATTAAGAGTAAAACAAAATAAATTTTTTTTTGAGATGAGATCTGACCTTGTGGCCCAGTCTGGCTTCAAACGCTTTGTCTTAGCTTCCTCAGTGGTAGTATTACACGTATGAACCACCATACTGGTTATAAAATTTATTTTTAACTAAAAAATTCCATGTGTAGTGTTTAATTTCATAGAGATAATTATATCTGTAGCCCCAGCTGGCCTGGAACTCACTATGTAGACCAGGCTGGTCAACTCAACAGAGATCCACCTGCCTCTGCCTCCCGAGTGTTAAGGTTAAAAGTATGCGCCACCATACCCATTGGTGTTTATGATTTTTAAATGTTTAAAGATCAATTTTATTTTTAATTATGTATATAAGTATGTGTCTGTGCACATGACTATGCATACTATTGGAGGCCAGAAGTGTTGTCTCCCTTGGAGCTGGAGGTACAGGTGCTGAGAACTGAACTCTGGTCCTCCGCAAGAGCAGCAAGTGCTCTTCCAACCCCCAAGATATGTATTTAAAAAAATTGTTTTCTTCTTTCATTTGCTTATTTTTATGGGGCTTTTGGCTACTCTAATATTCCCCCCTCTGACAAGGTAATTCTAAAATCTTAAGGATTAGATACAAGCTCCCAAATACTTTTGACATTTTTGGCCTTTGGAACAGAGTGTGTTGCTAAGAGGCTGAAGGACATTTTGACTTTTAGCCAAGAAACTGGCTACTCTTCTTTGGGGTCTTTTTACCCTAACTGCCTAACCAGTTCCTACCTCCTATTCTTATCACACCATCCTCTGAAGGGGTTACCCAAATTGCCAATAGGGAATCAGGACACAGACTGCTCTGGCTTCATCCATGCTGAACAAGGACGCAGGGTGAGGCAATTGGAGTACTCCTTCAGTGGGTCTATCGAAAAGACTCCCAAATTGCATAACTCTTATCTCCAAGGGGAAAAGAAAGTCCTTGAATCATGAATAGGAGCTGTAAAGGAGAAGTAAAGGCAAGAGTACTTAGCATTACAAGTTCTAGACAGGGAACTAGAAAAAAAGCAGAACAGGGCAATTTTCAAATGTTCATATGAGAGTCCATTGGAATTTCTTGACAAGGGCTTCCAAAAGCATCCCTCTATTGGGTTCTTCCTCATTTTTCTTTTGTCTTCCAAAGATGGGCTATAGAGTGATGGATTCAGTATTTCCTTTCAGGTGTTTTGATAGCTGTTGGAGTGGTTAGAATCAGTGTCAGTTCCCTCTCAAAGGCTTCTAGATAGGGGGAGAAAACAAATTTATCCATCATTTTAGAACAGTAACTGGTTGCCTCCCTTAGCTACAGGTGGGCACTACAGTATTGGAGACCAAGATTTGAAGTCTTACATCTGAGCAGCGCTTTCTGGTCAGGAACAAAATCATCAATGAGAAATAAATGTCTAAATAACTTTTTTATATAGACTTAAGCCTAGTGTCTGGGATGTGTAATCCCTTGAACTCTTAAAGAAGTATATTGATGACTTTACTCTTTGGTCATACTTTCCTCTTGGGTGTTTAAAACCATACAGTTGGCCCAAATAAATCAATTTATTTTTACACTTAAGGTCATTTGAGGATCTGTTCCTCAGTGGTCACCTGGGAATTTTTATTTATTTATTTTTATTTTATGTGTGTGAGTGTTATGCCTGCAAGTGTGTAAGTGCACCCATGTCATGCAGTGCCTATGGAGGACAGAAGAGGGTGTTGGATACCCTGGAACTTGAGTTATGGATGGTTGTTAGCCACCACGTGGGTGCTGGGATTTGAACCTAGCTCTTCTTCAAGAACAATCAGTGCTCTTAACCTCTGAACCATCTCTCCAAAGATACTTATTTTTTTTATTTTTTATTTTTTATTTTTGTCCTTTTGATACAGGCACTGCCTGTAGCCCCAGCTGGCCTGGAACTTGCTATGTAGACCAGGCTGGCCTCGAACTCACAGAGATCTGCCTGCCTCAGCAAGATATATATGTGTGTGTGTGTGTGTGTGTGTGTGTGTGTGTGTGTGTGTGTGTAATTTGTTATTTTTGTTTTATGTGTATGTGTGTACTGCCTGCATGTAGGTGAGTGCACCTATGTCGTGCAATGCCCACAGAGGACAGAAGAGACTGTCAGATCCCCTGGGTCTGGAGTTAAAGATAATTGTTAGCTGCCATGTGGGTGCTGGGATTTGAACCTGGGTCTTCTGCAAGAACAATCAGTGTTCTTAACCACTGAGCCATCTCTCCAGCCCCAAGATATTTATTTTTATAATAAATCTCGGGCCCCTTTTGCTCCTCAACAATGCACTGATTAAATTGAGATATATAACATACAGGTCTGGACTATCAGAGGGGCACCAGGGGATGGCGTACATGTGACAAACACAGCATGAAGCTCGGCCTCCGAGAGCACGGCCCTCTGCCCCACACCCTCTCTTCTCTCTCTTCTTTGCCTTTCTCCCTCTTTCCTGTTTGTCCTGGTTTCTCAGAATCCTCTCTCCTTTTTTCAGTGTGCTTTTGATTTGTTCTGCTTTAAGCATCTTTGACATTTACTAACCTTTTCAATGACTTGGTTCACTTTGTAAATAGGCAGATCTATTACTTTTTCCTCATATAGTTGGTGCCTTTGGATTTATGCTTATAACAGCCTATCATACTTTGATTCTTTGTGTTTGTATATGTATTAATAATCAAAGCATATAACAGTTGCATTTATGTACATAGTATATTTATAATGTATCCATCTATATCTAATATGTGGTTTACATATAGTGCGATATGTGTGTGGGCATAGTTTGCCTAAGTTTTATTTTAACTTAGTTTCTTTTTCTTACCCTCAACAATAAAAAGTCATGCCTATAGAGATGGCTCAGTGGTTAAGAGGACTGGAGTTCTGCACGTACCTTAGACAGCTCACAGACAGCTGTGAGCTCACAGCTGTCTGGACCTCTTGCTTAAGGGGGATCCAATACCTCTAGCCTCCTGGGACATCTGCACACATGCCACATTCCACACACAGACATACACACATACGTATGTATAATTGAAAGTAATGAAAATAAGTCTTTAAAAAAGAAGTCCAAGTCCACATTTGGTTATTAACGAAGTGGGAAAATCAAGTTTGATATTCTATCTTCACATCGGGCTCCTGGTGTGATCCCTTCTCCCAACTCTGCTTTCATGTGCTCTCATCACACCTGATCTCTGTATCTCTCATTTCCTGTCAGGACCCTTGTGACGGTACCATTGAGCTTATCTATAATCTTATCTATAATCTTTCCCTAACATGGTTGCTCCTTCAGAGTCCCTTTTACCTTATAAAATAGCATTTGTAGGTCCCAGGCATCCTTGGTGAGCAAGCATGTAGTCTACCACCGAGTTCATGCGATGGCCTATTTATGTAAAATCTCTCCTTTTGGACACAAGCCATGTAATTCAGAAGTTTTCAGTTATTCTATTGATTAACTGAATAGATATAAAACTTACTCTCTTTTTCTTCCTTTAATTCCAGATCCTGGGTGTTTGGCTGACGTACAGATACAGAAACCAGAAAGATCCTCGTGCCAACCCTAGTGCTTTCCTTTGATGAGAAAGCAAGGAAATGCTTTCATACTATGATCTTGCTCACTTTCTCTGATTTTAAGTTAAGCTAATTTGCTCATTAACAAAGGAAACAGCCTCTGAAAAATTACACTGTCAACACTGGAATTACATATTTTTATTTTTACCTTTCTCTAAATGGTTTTGTTTCCATTGCTGAAAAAGACCCTGAAATTCCTGGTGTCCTCTGAACCTCGGTGTAATCTACTGTCCTCAGTGTCTGGCACTGTCCATTGTGGCCTTTCTTAGCATTTTTACCTGCAGAAAAGCTTAGTATAGCACTACTGTGTTCATGATCATATTGTGAAGCTAAAGAGACATCTCACTGGAATAACTGTACATAGGTAGTGCTCTGCTGTGTAGATAGTTCCCACTGGAGACAGTTGATGTTTAGGAAGGCTAGAGAGTAAGAGCACCTGTTGTGCTAAGTTCAATAAGAGAAATTTAAGTTCTTAACATTTTTTTTTGTCTTTTTAGGAGAGATGCATTGTGCTGAAAAGTGTTCATATAAAAGTGACCATTTAGTTCTAGTAGTCTTTAATACATCAGTGCATTCTAGAAATAGCTATGTCTTTAGGAAATTGCAGTTTAGTTTTTGACTTGTATAGGTAAGTGCAAAGGAGCTGCGGTCTCAGAAATGTCTGTGTCCCATTGACCTTTAGCTTTCAAAGTGGAATGAGTTTAAGACAGAAGGTGTATCTACATATTCTTGATATTCTTTTTTAAAGAAAAGTCTAAAAAACTGCATTTTTAAACAGCTCACAATCAGTACATTGACCCACATAGCAAAAAGATATTTGATTATCTTAAAAATAACTTTGTAATAAAATTTCTCAGTATTGTGACAGCAAGTTGTCAAATCCAAACATATTTGAATATGATAGCTCCCATATGTTGAAAGTGAAATAGTATTGTTGGTCTGTATAGTATGTTACAAAATTAAAAGCTAGAAACCTTTCTTTGTGTGTGTGTGAATTAAAAGATGGCAGTGGGAGGATTGATCAGGGGAGGGAAGTAGGCTTCTTTCCTTCCTGCTTTAGCTACGCTTTGACGGACTTAGACTGTTGACTAAAATAGCGTCCAAATAAGGTTTGGAAATACACCTCCAGCACTCTGGTCTGTTGCTAGCTATCCCCAAATCCTTGCTTTTAATTGTTTTTTTTTTACATGTTTATTTAGTGTGTATGTGTGTTTGTGTATGTATATTGTGTGTATGTGAGGGTGTGCATGCATGCATGCATGTGTCTGTCACAGTGAGCATATGGTGGTCAGAGGAGTCCACTTTCCTTCCACCATGTGGGTCCCAGGGATTGCGTTTAGCTTCTCAGACTTAGCGTCAAGTGCCTTTGTGCTCTGAACCATTTCTCTGGCTCCCAAATTCATTTTTGAAATATTTCTGTGGTTAATATTATCTATATGATGACAAAGCTGTTTTTATTTATTTGTAGAATTCATTAATATTCATTTGGGAAAAGTATGCATCTTCTTTTTCATTACAGACTGTTAATTTCTGTCTTGTGTTCTGGGCAGCATGTGACGCTTTACTGGTTGGTGATTGTCTTCATGGGTCTTAGACCAAGAAGGCTGGTAAAGGCTTGGTATGCAGAGCCTTGGGGTGTTCTGTTGTGTCTCTTTCGTGATTCTGTACCACAAGGAAGCAGAACTGTGTGTCCAGGATGTTGTGCAGAGATGGGGGCCACCCTAGCAATGCTCCTGCCTGTGCTGTGAGATCAGTGATGTATAAAGGGAGATTTTTCAATTCTGTCTTCTTTGAAAACATTCTGTATTTTTCCTGTTTATTCAGTTGCATTTCAAAATCTGAAAGTTCTTGAATCTCCTAGCATAATTTTCTTGGTGATACTATTATTTCTTGGTGATATTAATTGTTTCTTGGTAATATTTAAAATTATTTAATTTAAAATCTTTAAAACTGTTAGATTGTGAGATTATGTAAGTGAGCAATAAATAGTAAATCAATGGTGACTAGCCACTCAGGATACACACTTTCAAGGGCCAGGGCCATCAAATGAGTCTGGCTTTCTCTTTGCTTAGGTAGATCTGAAGATGGTAATTACCCAACCCATTATATGGTGGTGTTTGTGTCCAGGGCGCTGAGACACTGCTGCTGTTCATGCTGTCTCAGCACCTATTCAACATGTTTGTCCTGCACCATGGATGGCCCTACTGTGAGCCTGCCTAGCTCAGGCAAGGCTTGGGACCCCAGGAAGGGCACTGCTTGTAAACACAGCTTGCTGCCACAGTGCGTGACATCTGAGGGGAATGAGTAGTTCAGATTTCAGATCTTAGCAAATGTCTGTCAAGCCCAAGACCCTTCATCTCCTTTCCTCCAATGTTTGTATTTCCTTCAAAAAGGGACTAAACTCCAGGCGTGGTGGCATATGCCTTTGATCCCAGCACTCAGGAGGCAGAGGCAGGTAAATCTCTGTGAGATTGAGGCCAGCTTGGTCTACATGGTAAGTTCCAGGTGAACTGGAGCTAGGGAGACCTTGTCAAAAAAAAAAAAAAGCAGGAACTAAGTACTTAAACAATTCTCTGGTTCTGTTTACATGTTCCATTTGGAGCAATGTTCCTTAGAGTGTTTGCTCAGTTAGCCTTGATGTTGAAGGTGAAATTTTAGCTAGAGAAAATAGAGCTACTGAAAGGGAAAACGTTTAGGTATAATCTCTCACATCTCAGCGTAAGCTCATCTCAGATTCCCTTCTGTGGCAACATTGTGTTTGGTATGAAAACCAGTTCTGCATGCTCAACCTTGATGATACGCTGCTGAACCTGTCAGAGCGAGAGTAAAACCAGTTAGCATTCAGTTCTTGGTTCCCATGAGCCAAAACCTTCTATAGTTTTTCAAAATATTTGTTTAACCCTGCTTAAGTTTATTTCTCCTTTTAAAAATACACTAAATGCATGAAATGGACTTACTTTGTAGTTGAAAAAGTTAGAAACAGTTTTGCATAGTATTTCATAGAGAAGCACACATTGTGATAATATATGCTCATGCGTGAATGGTTTTGCTTTAGTGGAGATGACAGTAAAGTTAAAGACAAACTTTTCTAGGATTCTGGTTAGTGAGGGGGTTTGTGTCAAAAATATGCTTGAGGGAAATGGATGGGGAGAGGACAGGGCTAGTCACGTTGCAGTTTTTCTTGTATTATTATTTAACATGTATGTTTATATTTATCTGTGCACATGTGTGCAGTGCCCATGGAGGCCAGAAGAGGGCATCAGATCACCTGGCTCTGAAGTTATAGGAGCTACCTGATGTGGGAGCTAGGAAATGAATTTGGGTCCTCTGGAAGAGTAACAGGTGCTCTTAACCTCCCAACCATTTCTCTAACCCTAGAGTTTTTCCTGAATGTTTCATATCTGGGTAACATAGTCCTTGAACTACTTGAGACAATGGCAAAAGGGAAAATCAGACTCCGTACTATAGTGCAGCCTCTTCTTACCACTCTCCTTAGGAAAGCCAGCTTGGGGATTTATTCTTGAGTGAGGCCTTGAAGGAGTTGCTTAAGTTAAATTATGTATCAGTGAATGGACTTTTCCATCTCTAGAGGGTGAAACCACTTTTACCTACTTATACTATCTCATTCTTTACAGAGAGATGAGGTCATTACTTGGAATCTTCTTGATTAGGTAATAAGGTAAACTTCTTGATTTTTGAGTGATGTGAGAGGGCCCAGTCCACTGTGGGTGGTGCCACCCCTGGGAAGGTTGCTCTGTATTGTTTAAGAAAGCAGGCTGAGCATAGGCCAGGGGAGCAAGCTAGTAAGTAGCCTTCCTCCATGGTCTGTGCTTCAGCTCCTGCCTCCAGGTTCCTGCCCTGAGTTCCTACCTTGGTCTGCCTCTGTGATGATCTATGACCTGGGAGATGGAAGCCAAATAAATCCTTTCCTCCCCAAGTTGGTATTGGTCAGAGTGTTTTGTCACAGCAATTGAAAACAAACTATAACACCCACTATGTTACTAACATTTTTATTTCACTCGTAGAAATAATACTCTCTAGACTAGGCTCTAGTCTCAATAATCTTTAATACTCTTCTTTCTCTCAGATAAATAATCTAGATACATTTTCATTTGAAGTTTAAGTACAAATGAAAGATTGTGAATGTCACAACTTCACATTGTGAAGCTGGACTTAGAAAGAATAGGCATTGTTAATGTTTCCATGAACTTAGAGCAAATGTTTTCATATTTGAATCATCTCTTTTTAATCTTGTATATATATACATTTCCTGTAATTTCAAATATAGTACAGGAATTCTTAGGTCCTTTCTTCGTAGGTTTCTTCTGTTTCTTCACGTACATTACTTAAATAGTTTTTTACATTTGTTTGTTGTGTGTGTGTCTTTGCATATGTATTTGTGTGGTGACACGTGTGCCAGGGTGTATGTGTAGAAGTCAGAGGACAACTTATGGAGGTTGGTTTTCTCTTTCCATCATGTGGGTTCCAGAGACCAAACTCAGGTCATCAGGCTCAGCAGCAAGTGCCTTTACCCACTGGTCCTTCTCCCTGGCTCCATTTTCTTTGCTTTATCAATAATGACCTAGTGCATTTTATGTTAATGTCTGTGTCTGTATAACCACTATATTTGAAGGTTGATAGTTTTTAGGTATGTTTAAATAATGTTGCTATTGATGTGTTCACAGAACTCCCTCAGTTTCTTTTAAGAGGAGACTGTGTAAGAATGAGTCATGTTTTTCATGACTCTTCCTGTTTCTTTTTTAAGGAGAATTCACTTTCCCAACAACTTTGACACTTGATTTCGTCTTTAAAATTTCTATTTATTTTTATTTTACGTGTGTGAGTGTATTGCCTACATGTACATAGGTGCACCATGTTATACAGTGCCCTTGGAGGTCAGAAGAAGGTGTCGGATCCCCTGGAACTGGAGTTACAGATGATTTTTAGCCGGCATGTGGGTACTGGGAATTGAACCTGGGTCTTCTGCAAGAACAGCCAGTGCTCTTAACCGCTGAGCCATCTCTCCACCCAACACTTGATTTCTTAACTGTTGATTTATATTTTAAAAATTCTTTGAAAACATTTTGCCATTTATTTTGTGTGTATATACACAGATATAAACACACACATAAACAATTATTTATTTAGAGGTAGGGTCTTACTATGTAATCCAAGCCTCAAACTATTTAGTCCAGTTGCCTTTGAATTTAAGATCCTCCTGCTTCAGGAGGTGCTGCGATTACAGGCTTGTGTCACCATGTATGGCTTTACTCAATACAGTTTTAAGGACCTAACATTTCACAGCAGCCCAATGGAAAAAATAAACATCATTTTTGCTCAGTTGGTAGAGTGCTAACCTAGCATGCTGGAGGTCCTGCATTCAGTTACCTGCATCACATGAACTGGGATGGTGGCACAAAAGCCTGTAATCCCAGCACTCCAGAGGTAGGATTAGGATCAGGAGTTAAAGGGCATCATTGCCTTTGGCCTATTGCTGGCCAGCCTCAGCGCTATGAAACTCTATCTCAAACAACAACTACCTACCTTGATATCTCTGAGACTTACCCCTTTTTAAAAAAAAAAAAAATCATTAAACTAATTTTCATTGTATGTGTGGGTCCGTGCATACCACAATGTGTGTGTGTGACAGTCAGCTGACAACTTGGAGGAATATGTTCTCTTCTACCGTGTGAGTTTCAGGGACTGAACGCAGGTCCTAGGCCTTAGCTGCCCATGTTCTTACCGGCTGAGCCATCTTGCTGACCTGTCTGAGACTTTCCCAATGAATGCTTTCCTCTTTTCAGCAAGCATATGTTTTGTGCTTGTGAGAAAGATGCTGATGTCCTTGTGATGGTTTAGTTTAGGATTTGTGTCACTGAGTCACCAATGTGTACTCAACCTATTGGTGAGAGTCATCTCTGTGAGAGAAGAAAAGCACCCTGGGAAAATTAGCAGTGCCAAAATGCCTGTACAGAAAGTGGTCTCAGCAAGCAGCAGATGATAGACGATCAGCATGTACAACATTATGTAGACCATCAACAGCCAAAGATGACAGTGGGAGTAGGCGGCAGGAAGTCTACGTAATAAGGAACATGAGATTTAATGTGATTAGGCAGAATAGAGTTAAAACAGGCAAGGCTGCCTCCCTAACTGACGCTGCAACTTTGCACAACTTTTCCAAACAACAGTGACCACTGATCTTTACCTCACCAACAGGTCATCCCTGCCGTTTGCTTTTCCCCCAGTCAGTCACATGCTCATGAGGTGAGACAACCCAAACTGAGTTTATTCTAGGCCATGCATCTAGAGATCGCATCTGGACAAGGCCACCTGTTGGGGATTTCTCTAAGGTTCACAGGTTTCCCTTAGGGGTTCAGGTCTTCTTTAGGTGACCTTTCTTCCACTGGGTGAGGTCTGGAGAAAGCTGCGTGACCTGCTACAGACTTTCCTGAGACCATTAAGTGGGACAAAACCTAACTATAATTGAATTGCAAAATAAAGTTTACTTGGGAGTTTCTGGCCAGTGTGGGAAGGGTTATCTCTATGTGAGATGCTATTTGGAGCGGGGAAGGGTGCCTCCCCACATCATAGTCTACATTAAAACATAAGCCATTTAATGTTTCTACAGATTAAACTCATGCCTACTTTTAGTCAGTGAGACCTTGTAGTGTGGAGAGATGACAAAGATAGCTTCGGTGGTTTTCTGTCTTCATGGAATTAGCATTGTCATTTCCCTCCTTGAGCATTTTGTGTGTGTCTAGTAATCTTATTTATGGAATAACTCAGAACCAAATAGCTTTACTTTTTCTTCCTTCCTTTCCTTCCTTCATCTTTTTAAAATGTATTTTTATTGAGTTTTTGTGCATTTCATACAATAGATCTTGATCAAATTTAGCCCCTCTCCCCCATCTGTGCCTCTCCCCCCCCATATCCCCCTATTGATTTGTCGTATGTGTTAAATCCTATCTGGTCAAGCCTTTGTACCCAGATGTTCCTCGGTGCAAATTCATCCACTAGAGTCTAGTCAGCTTATTTAGAGTCACTCCTTTAAGGACGATCTACTCTCCTTCACCCCACAGTAATCTGTTGCCAGCAGTTCCTCGGCTAAGGTTGGGGCCTGCTGCCCATTTCCCTAGTCCTGTGCTGGGTTTTTGTGTGATTGAGTCAGCATGGGTCTTGTGCATGCTGTCACCATTGTTCCAAGTTCATATGAGCAAGTACCGAGAGATTTGAAAGCCTCTGTTTCCTTGTGTTCATGTACCAACCCTGGCTCTTACAATCTTTTCACCCCTTCTTCTGAAATGGTCCCAGAGCTGTGGGTGAGTGAGGTTTAATATAGGAGTCCTATCCAGGGACATGCACTCTGCAGTCCAGAAGGCCAATTGTGGCCTTCTGTGTGCACTGCACTCTGTTATATGAGGAAGCTTCACTGGTGAGAGTTGAGGGATGTATTAGTATTCTCCCTACCCCCTATTTTGCTATGTTCCATCAGCCTTAGGTGCATAGGTTCCACCATAGATGTGTCACTTAAGGCTGGACATCTCTCAGACATACATTATCTCTGTGTGACCTGTTGTAGAACTCTGGTATGCTTGTTTGTAATATAAGGACCCATATTTAGCATACAGTAAGACATTTCATTTGTCTAGAGATGTGACAGAGAGAAAGGGTTTTCTCTAGGATCCTTGACCTCTCCAGCCATGTGTATTGGACTATATTTACAGTGCCACCCATGAGTTCCGTTCCATTGAGAGGGCTTTAGGCACACTTAGGTAGCTGTTGATTAACCCCTAGGTAAAAATGTCAGTGCACCAATATGGTTTGCTGTGCCAGTCATTGTGGTTATTAGACTTTAAAGCTGGGGTTGGACCATTGGTTGATTTTCCCCCTTAGCAGCTAGCACAGTATCCTTTAGAACTATGAGAGCTAGTCTTCAGTGGGGAGACTTGCAGGTCAGTTCTAGCTCCATTGCTCCAAGTCCTGTGTCTGAAGTGTGTCCTCTCTTCAGCAATAGGGTCTTACCTTCAAGTTCTGGAAGGTAATCAAGGGTTGTAGCAATAGCCCGTGTTATTTTGGGAGTCTCTTATACTACCCTGATCAACAACTCGAAGGGAGGTGTCTCCTGTTTGGCACTGTGGTCCTTGTTATATAGCCTTCAGGTATACAACACATGCACTCATGCTTAGATTTGGCATTTGTATTTTCAGGGTGTTTTTGAGTTAATACATTTCCCTCTTGCTCTTCACACCACTTAAGCTTTATTTGTCTCTCTTATCGCTTTCCCTGTCCAACCTCTCTCCTCCCTCTCCAGCCTAAATACTCCCATTTTCCCTTTCATTTTTTGGGAACAGTATCTTTCTTTATATGTCAGGATGGCCTCAAATTCAGAGTAATGCTCCTGCCTCAGTCTAACAAGAGCAGAGATGACAGGTTTGGACAACCATACCCAACTGTTCCAAATAGCTTTTCTACGAAAGGCCAACAGAAACAACACCCTTCAGTTTGAATACCCACAAAAGGATTTATTTTTTAGAAAATCATGGCTCACTAGAGTAGTTAATAATATTGTTTTCACATGTATGCTTGAAACCAAATGTTTAAAAAAAACATAGCCATTGTAACATTAAACCGTAATATAATCATCATGTCCACAGTGCTTCTCCCTCTCTGACGTCTCTGGTTCCAAGTCTGGGGCACAAGGCAAGGGAAAGAGCTTGCAGGTTTGCTTTTGCTCTACAGTTCCGTCTTCAGCAGCTTGAGCGCTTTCTTCATGTTGTCCTGCACTATTGGGTGAAAGGTTAGGACAATGAAGATGTCATCAGAAATTATATCAATAATACTATAAACCCCCAAACCTGGGGACTGGGTTCATTGTGGTACAGGGTGCTTTTCAAACATAGGGTGAATGGTTGGTAACCTTATTGTGAATTTTTTTCCATCTAGTTAAGTAAAAAGGCTTTTCTGAAAGCCCAGTTCTCAAGCGTCCTGGGTCTTTGCACTTCCTTCTCCATCTTCCTCCAAAAGACTTTCTACAAACTCTGTCAGCAGCAAACAAGTTTGGCTAATTTAGAAGCAAATTTGAAATCATGTTCATGAGAAATACTTGTTAGGTATGTGCAGCTACTGCAAGTTACTTTAGAAGTAGGTGGAATACAAATTATAAATACCCGACAACCAAGTGTTTTTGCACAGATGAATTCCGTTAATCTTTACAAAAACTATTAGTACTAATTTTTCATAACAGTGGAACAGGCTCAGAGAGCTGAGTTGTTTGCTCAAGTTACATAGCTAACAAGAGTTAATACTACTGCTCCTGAGCCCAAACTTCTAGATCATCCCTTCAGCAGCAAGTTGTGAAAGTGAGGTTTTGTGTCCGGTGAAGGCCCTGAGCAGCTGCTTACTCACTTCTACAAATAATTATTAAATCTGCAGGTACTGTGATATATTACCCACATAAGATACTTGTCCTTGAAGAGTTCTATCTTGTTAAGACATCTGGAGCATCTCAAGAATGGCCAGTGCTTGGAGCACCCTGCCCTTTATCCTGGCAACTCATCCTGGCGACATTAGACTATGGGGAGCTTTCCTGCCCACCTGGCCCAACCTTTCCTCCCCAGCAGACTTTGTATTTTAAGTCTGCACTGCCCTGCAGAAGTAAGATACCCTCTGTATGCATACTGGGTAATTTGGGTGTAACTCGAAAATTCAGATTGTCGTCTCATTAATATTCATTTAAAATTAAATAGCATATGGGTAATGGCTAAGGCATTAGATAGCGAGGTTCTAGGAGCCAGTGCAACCGATCAGGATTGGTCCTAAGATAAAATCCAGTTTCTTCCCTGAATTGCTAATCAGGTATCCCAGCTAGACCTGTCTCCTAATGGCTACCTCCTCTGCCTTAAGTCAGTCTCTCTCGCTTTCCCCATCTCCCTGTCTTTTTTCCCCATCTTCCCACTTGCTCCCTTCTTCCCCACTTTGGGCAGCTTCTGAGAAAGTGAGGAGTTTAAAATTTAAATCATTTGCCTATTTAAACTGAATCTGAATACAACTGCAGCAAGATGGATAGAATTATTTCCCTTTTGTTATTTAGATAAAAATTGAAGCAAGCAGATTGTTATACCTTCTGCACCCAATTCTGTGGCAGAGGGGGTCGTGTACAGAGAAAACTTGAGAGGCAGACAGTGTGATTATAGGATTCTCCTAGAGAAAAAGATACCTAAGCTACGTCATTCATCCTCCATTGAAATTTTTAAAAAATGAAAGATGGTGGGGGCTGGAGAGATGGCCCAGCAGTTAAGAGCATTGATTGTTCTTGCAGAGGACCTGGGTTTAATTCCCAGCACCCACATAGTGACTAACAACCACCTGTAACTTCAGTTCCAGGGGAATCAGACACCTTCTTCTGACCTCCATGGGCATCCCATGACACAGGTGCACTTAGACACATGCAGGCAATACACTTATACACGTAAAAGTAATAAACTGAAAAAATGAAGATGGAAAAAGTGTATGATTTGCTTGAGCACAAAAGGTTAGTCTGGGTCAAAATGATTCTCTGGCATCCCTGGGCAGAGCTCTTGCCTCTCTCACCTGGGGCCTCTTGCATTGCTATAGTAATAGGAGATGTCTGACACTTGGATGCATCTAAACTGGAGGTGATACTTACACAGAGCTGTGTCAGAAGGTTCATAAGCATAGAGACGGTTTGAGTATCTCCCAGTGATGTCTGCTCTGACTGTCAGGGATGGATCTGCAAAGATAAAACACGAGGAGGGAATGTTTTTGTTTCCAGGCAACCTGTGTTCTGTTACCCAGCCTCTGGGAGTTATCACAGAGGAGTGCAGGGAACAGTCAACAGCTGTACAGGACTCTCTTTGTAAAGGTTTTGAACCCTACCATCGAATCTGAAGAGGCCAGAAAACAGGACAATGGGTATTTTCCGGGTTTTCTTTGTGAAAACATTAGTGTTCTGTGAGGCAGAATGACTGTGAATATTTTAAAGAGGACGTTGCAGATGACATGCTTCACTAAGAACAACTTTGATAATTAGAAACATTTAATGGTGGTTCATTTAGTCTGGGTTTTTATTACTTATTTTTATTATTTTTGTTATTTGGGGGTCAGAGCCTCACATGATAGCTGGGTTGGAAGTTACTGTGGAGATCAGGCTCGCCCCAAACTCATTACTATCCTCCTACCTCCGCCTCCTGAATGCTGGGATTGTAGGTATGAGTCACTGCATCCAGTTTGTGCAGAGCTGGAAGTGGAACCTGGGGCTTTGGGGCTTTGTGCGTGATAGACAAACATGCTACCAATTGATCTACATCTCCACATCTTTTTTTTTTTTTCTTAAGAATGTGAGTCCCTAAGAATGGCAGCTTAATAAACATAAGCATGTAATGCTTCCCACTAATTTTCACTTTATCACTAATCAGCTGCATTTTAAGAACAGAGATTAATAGGTTTTTCCCTTTGTTTAAATATTCTACTAGGTTTAAATCCATCTGTCAAGCCAGACCTAGTGGTAAATGCTTGTAATCTCAGCACTTGAAATATAGAGGTAGGAAGATCGAGAGTTCATGGTCATCTTTGGCTGTGTAGAGTTTGAGATTAGTGTAGACTACATAAGATTCTGTCCCCCAAACAAAAGACAGGAAAGAACTCAAGCAAATAAATAAACAAACAAACAAAAATAAATTCATTCTGTCATATTTTATATGCAACTTGAAGTTATGTGATTAATGAGAAAAAAAGAGGACTTTAAAAGAGTAGGGGGGTACAGAGCTGTCTAGATACTTTGCCTTGAAAGGGTGTAGTTTGGTTGTAGAGAGTTTGTCAAGCATTCTCTGAGTTGGTTCCCCAGAACTCAGAAAAGGAGGGGTGATTGAAAGAGCCTAAAAAGATGTATCTCAAAAATGGAGAAGAGGAAGGTATGTGAGAGCCAGCTGCATGTTTGCAGTCTGTCACATTCAGGAGGGGACTGTCTCTGTCATCTTGGAATGTTGGACCAGGACCAACAGACAAAGCCCCAGAAGCAGAGATTCATTTGTTGAACAAAGACTTAGAGATGGACGATATTTCCTCATAGAGGGATACGAAGGCATAGTTTAACCTTTGTAGCATATTAACAGAAGGGCTTTATATACCTCCTGGTGTCTGGTGGCCCTGACTGCATTGGAATCACCTGGAGGGCCTTAAAAAATATGGCTGCCTGCAGAGATTCTGACAAAATCAGTTTGAGGTACAGTCAGGGCAACTCAGTCTTTAAAATCTCCAGTGATTCTAACACCTAGCCAGCATGGGGAATCAGCGAGCCTCAGGAGTTAGCGCTGCAGGGTTTGTGCTACAGGTGAAGACCATATAGGTGGACGAAATGTTCTCAGAATCTTACTGGAGATTAAAAGAAGTCCTACACATGTACCACTGGAAGCCTCTAGAGTCTCAGTGCTAAGATTCTAACTGTGTTAAATCCCAACAAAACTAAGGCTACAAAATGAGGGCTCCAGTTTAGTCTCTTTTTTCCCCCTCCGTCACTTGTTTTTTCCTCTTGTTTTATACCTTTAATGAAAACCTTGTTGAATTAACTAGGCCATCTACTTGCTGAGAGTGAGCTCTGCTAGGTGGTGGATTTAACTGTAGATTTTCCAAATGAATATGACTTTAGTCAAAGCCACATTCCATATATTGATTTCACTCATCCAACAAACACTGCGAGCTTGTCACAGGGTCACACCGGGCCTGTGATATGAGCAGAAACACATGTCACATCATCCCAAGGAAGTGCCAAGTAATGGCTGGGAAACTTCTAGCCAATGGGAGGGCCATGACGCTTCCTTCTCAGATGTACTTGGGGCAGGAGAAGGGAAGTCAAACAAGCGGAAAAGAAACCATCTGTGGAAATCAGCAGAAACTCACATTTTCTAATAAAAGCATGTGGTGAAACCTAATGACTTCCTTGCTGGAATGAGTGCTAGAGCTTGCTGGAGCTCAGTGACCCTGGCCATGGTAAAGTGGCTGGTGAGGCTGGGGGAGGGCAGGAAGAAATGTGGAATGTGGCATCACTTGGCATCACCTTCAGCATGTGGCTCATCTCATTTCACTTACCCACAAACAAAATCCTGGGGACATACTGGCCGTCAGGAGAAAGGTGCTTGTCAGTTGTTTCATACTGAGATTTAAAAAAAAAAAAAAAAGCAGTTTTTAGTTTGTTTGCTCTTTAGTATTTCTAAACTTGTTAACCCAAAAAAGGTGCCTAGATCTTTATGAAACTAGAAAAGGAATCATGGGGGCGGGGAGGGGGGAGGTAGCAAGAACATTAGGGAGCCGGAAGGGGTAATAAAATACATGTGACATGAAACAGAAGGGGGATCATATGGGGGAGGAAAGGGGCTACCAGGAGGGGGCAGGGGGACCAGGGAGGATAGTGGGGGAGAGGAGCAACAGAAACAATTTGAAAATGCCACAATAAACCCATTTTATGCTAATAAAATATACTAATAAAAATGTCCATTACTCTACCATGGGCATAAGGTATGTCAGGGAATTTCTTCTACAAGAGTTTATGACATAGTTGGGGAAAGGAGCAGTGTTCATGAAATAATAAACTAGAGCAGGAGGTGACACAGGATGTGAGAGGAACAGCTAATGGATGCCATACACCAAGAACAAGGAAGTTTGAGGAGGAAGACTAAGGAGTTATGACTGAAGAACGAACTGGGATGAGTAGGACAGCACTTGTGAATAGAGTAGAAAGAATTTGCAAAATCAGGAGAGGTAGTCATGGCAGCTGATTGGAAGATATAAAGATAAAATATAAAAGGCGTGGGTCCATCTGGACAGCCAGAGAGCAGCACTCTCAGCAATGACAGGGGTTAGGAGCCAGGACTGCAGGGAAATGGGCAAAGAAAGTCACTTGCAAAATAAAAAAGCCATTACAGCAGCAGCACAGAGATCCTGACCACAGCAGAGTATTTTCCAGGTAAGGTTAAGATTATTAATTGCTACATAAAAACACAACTGTGGTATATAGATTACTAATAAAGGGGCAGAGGCTGTGACTCAGTGGTAGAATATTGCCCAGCATGCACAGGGTCCTGGGTTCAGTCCAGTCAATGCAAGACAAACTTTTAAATACTAGTGGTGAAGTGAACTCTTTCTGGTTCCTAATCTGTGAGATGGGATACTTGGAAGAGATTCCAGCTAATGTGGTGTAGCTAGGATGCAGAGAAAAAGTGAATCATTCACTTTAGACGATGGACCAGAGGAAACGTGGGTGATGACGAAGAGGAATCTTACAACTAGATTGAGAAGAACAAACTGGTCTGCCAATTTCTGGATTTCTTTATTTTCAGCAAATGCTTTCTTTAAAGCTGTAATGAAAGGAAGAATCATTAAACATTTATCTCAGGTTTGGTCAAAATTCTTATTTTCTGTTGTATTTTAAGTTGAATAGTGTTTTAAACACAATACAGAACTTCGTTTTTCAGCACATGATTTGTGAGGTAATCTCTAAGTTACTGACTGCCTTTGCTCTTTTCTTTCACTCATTCCTTTGTTATTTTTTTAAACCCATGTTAATTGAATAGCTACTATGTGCCAGGTACAATTTTATGCACTTGAGAAAAATGCCTTGAATAGGCAAACGTGATGCTTCCACAGAGGTCAGATGCCTGTGTGGGAAACAGCATGCACAAGGACATACTAAATATATAGTAATTTCAGGTGTGGATATATACTTTGAAGAAAAATCCAGTGAAGCAAAGGCCTTAAAAAAGTCAGTCTAGGTATAGGGAGCTGCAAGAACAGCAGCCATGGGTGAGGATGAGCTCCAAAGTTTGAGGAGCAGGTAGGCTGGATAGAGTGGTGAGAGTAAGGCAGCTGACAGGAGTGGAAAACTGGGCCTTGGCCAAGCATATCCAGCCTTAAAGACTATGGCCAGGGTTTGCGATTTAATTGCACCCTTCATGAGGAGCCTCTGGAGCACACGAGTGACAGGATCTGATTTGTGTTTAACAGTCTCAGTCTGGCTTCTGTGTAGAGAACCAACTGTGGTGTGAGCACAGGTGATTATTACAGTGTTGTGGGCAAAAGGTGAACTTGGCTTGGACTAAGGCAGTAACATTGAGGTAATAGAAGTGGCTGGATTTAGGCAAGAAGGATTACCTAGTAAAAGGAGACCAATGGGAGATGAAAATGCAGAGCCCCTTGTGCAAGAATTATCAAGAAATATAAGACAGTGCTGAGGCACATTACATCAAGCAGGCCCTGTGCCACCAACCACAGGGGGCATGTCCCTGAAGCCAGTATTGGATGGAGGATATATTTTAAATGTAAAACCAACAGTATTTGTTGATGTATTGGATGGGGAAGAATAAATCAGTCGTACATGAATCTTAAGAGTGTCTTATTCAAAATGTGCACCAGTAGTTAATATATAACATGGACATATTTAAACTTCTTTTAAAATGTTTTAAAATATTTTTTCTTGTTCAACTGTGCTAGTTTCTAGAGATGTAAAGATGAGTGATTCAAACCCTGATCTAACTTAAAAACATATAAAAGAAATTTAGAAGAACAAATTACCTTGACTATGTGGGCATTCATCCAAGTGATGAATAATCATTAAAGGTTTGTTGCTGTGAGAGACAGAGGTTGGGTATTTAGTAGGATGTCATGGATAGGTAGGCATCACTAGATGGCACTCATGAGAAATGGGAGAAGGCTCTGTAATTCTCAACCTTACCTTGTCTTGGATTTGTATAAGGCTTCTTCATATGTCTGAGTCCAGATGAGTTGATCACCCCAACCTAGAACAAAAGGAGCCAATGTATTTAAAACCATAATCGTTTCTGCCTCAAACCTGCTGAAAAGCAATGGTAAAGACTGGGGATATATGTACTCAATGCTAAAGGCCAACAAAAGCCCCTGGAGAAGATAGAATTGACTATAATCTATGCTAAATCTAGAAAAAAAATTCCACAAATATCTTCGGCATACATATGTTAGCACTAAGAGTTTGGAAATCATTTTGAACCAAGTAGCATTTGGAAGTCAATGAAAGGCTGGCATTCGTTTGTTCATACCTCTGGACAGGGTCTGTGGTAGTTTGGGCCGAGAGTCCTTTGGGTCTTTTTTGGCTCCAGGTTTGACTGTGGTTTCTTTGGCCAGAGTGTAGGAGAGGGCCACAAGGAGCAAGAATGCAGACACTGGAATTTTCTCCATGGCGAATCTATTTGGAAAACAAACAAGAAAGAATTAAAATCTATAGAGTGTGTCACAACAGTGGAAAGCAACAGGAATGAGGCTGCACACGAGTCGGGAGGGAAAACTACCTTCCATGAGATTTTCCTGGGAATATTAATATGGATATCTATCGGTCTGTCTTTCATCTATCTATCATCTGTGGTAACCATTTATCTCTTTCCCTGCCAGTGAATATAAAATATCTATTGTGCCTTATCTTACAATAGAAATAGATAAATATATTTTAATGAGATACATAACTAGTTCAATGTATATACCCCTTTGCAAGGAAGTGAGCTATGTTGCATGTCACTAAGGGTGCCCATGGGTCATTACCATAGGTAGCCGAAAACTTGGAATCTGGTAAAGCCAAATGCTAAAACTACTTAGAAAGCAATGCAAAACTATAGCATCTACCTACTAATATTGGTTTTAAATAAGTCAAATCAGCTCTACAAAGGAAGGAGGACAGACTAGCATAGCTTAGTACTTGTAAGAGGGAAGGTTCTTATGATCTGTGATCTTGACTGGGAATCTTTTCTAGAGATAAGATGATTAAAATGAAGTTGCTTACTTACCAATCCCAAGTCATGTCTTAACTAATTGGCCCATGTTAAATTGGCCAATTGTTATCCAAGTTTTAGTATGTAGTCACAGAATAACTTACAGAAGAGTTAAGTAAAAACAGGGGTATGTATTCATTTTCTACTTTCATAATGATCAGAAATGCCAAAATGATTACCATCCAAAATTCTGTAATAGCAACTCAAATATACTACATGCTGGAAACACCTACCCCTCTTAGTGTGGTGACTTCTGTTTAATATTAAAAAATTAATCAAGATAAGTATGGTGGTACACGCCTTTAATCCCAGCACTTGGGAGGCAGAGGCAGGTGGATCTCTGTGAGTTTGAGGCCAGCCTGGTTTACATAGTGAGTTCCAGGCCAGTCAGGAATAGTTAAAGAGAAAAGAGAAAATCAGAAAGAAAATTATCTCCTGATTTGCAGTAATACATTCACAGGGGACAATTTGAGCTGGGCTTTCACAGTGGAGGAGCCCCTGGACATTTGCTTTAGCCAGCAGAGCATTAGATGGTGACTGAGCCTAGAAATCCTGGGTCCTGACCCAGCCTGGTCTACATAGAGAGACTTAAAAAAAAATCAAGTACTTTATGTGAGAATTATTATATTTCTGGAATATAAGTTGGTTCAGAAGTATAGATTAACTACCTTGAACTTTTCAACAAATATTTGCATTTATATATTTTTATAACAGCCCTTACATATATTGAAAAAATTAAATTGGTGACAACGTGCTGCATTTAGTTCATTGTTAATAAAATGGCTCTTAGGACCCCTTGCACTAGCTCCATAGATTGCAGGCTGAACTACTGATATATCACATGTGGTTTGTGACAGGATGCTTCTAAGAAGGCTAATATAAGTCCTGTTGAACAAACAGCCTGTTCTGGGATGGCTATCTGAGATTTGCTTTTTTGAGTTTTCATGATATGAAGGGCTGTTTTGCAGATGTTCTGCTTACTCTACAAACATCCTGAATAAACCCCTCAGGATTCAATGCAGGAAGGTGTTATTGGAAGATACTGGTATTTTTCAGAGCCCTTCCCTCCCCCATCCACTGACCTGAAACTGTTGCTTTTACTGTTACCCTATCCCCATCTTGTCTTAAGGAACGTTCTTGCTGGAGGTGGGATTCCATTGCTATTGCTTCAGAAACTACCGGCTTTCCCTCTGACAGTCTAACTCATAAATTTCAAAACTGAAGAAGCATCAAGAATTCCTTCCACCAGACAGAGAAAGAAAACAAGCCCCTGATTTGCAATAGCGCATTCCCAAGGGGCAAACTGAGCTGGGTTCTCACAGTGGAGAAGCCTGTGGACCTTTGCTTTAGGCGGTAGGAGACGAGCAGAGCATTAGTTAGTGACTAACACTGAAAATCCTGGACCCTGACCCAGGCTTGAAAACTCCCGAATTCACCGACTCACACATAAGGCTCCAGTTTCCTGAGGAGAGACATCACATCTAACCTGCTCAGGAATGTGAGTCCCTTGTTACTTTTTAGCCAAAGAAAGGCCTCAGCGAGCTTTTGCTAGATTTCGTACCTTTTCCAGTGCTGGCTTCACCACGCTGGTAAACTTGCTTTTCTCTTTTTTTGACTGCCTGTAACTGTACACAGCAATCAGAGGCCAAAGCTTACTCAAGCAAGTGCAATTCTAAAGCTATTGTCAAGAGCCTTACCTGGACTTCCCCACCCACCTGCTTTGTGAGAGCTTTCGGGTTGCCGGCCAAGCTTCTGAGTGTGCCAGCGCAGCCCTGAGCTTCTATTTATGTGTGGAGCACACCTCAATCCCACCCACTAATCCTGTTTCCACAAATTGCTAACTCAGAAGCAAACTTTCCTTTTCCCAAGCAAGTGTCTTCCCTGGGTTAAAAAGTTCCATGTTTTCAAGAAAATAAACATTGCAAAAGCTATGCTTTTCGGTATGCTTGTTTTTAATTGGTCATGAAAGTATATTGTTAATAGTTCTGGAAAAGCTGGGCAGTGTGCCAAATTCAGGTAAGCTTTAAGTGAAGACATTTGATTTGCGGGAAGGCTGATTTGTCTGTATGTGATTGGATGGAGTTGTAGTTTGTAGATTTTTTTCTTCCTGGTGGACAGATTTCCTTTGTTTAGCTAGAGAGAGAGAGAGAGAGAGAGAGAGAGAGAGAGAGAGAGAGAGA